ATACCCAAACAGAAGGTACACCTGAAGGAAATAATTAAGATAATGTGTTGTTTCTGTCTCCTTCGACAGCCGGATATTTGTGAGAAGAGAATTCCTAGCTTTAATGCAATGCGGGGTAGGAAAAGTTTTATTTAAACATCAGAATGCAGACATTAACTTATCCAAGTGGCAGTGACTGGGAGCAGACACATTCATTGTAAGAGAGAGTGTTTTTATTCTTGGATGAGGCATTAATGTGGCCATTAACTAAGTAACTGGACGGCGTACGGAACCAGAAGTTTCATCACCAAACTAACCTAAGCCCTCCACTGGACCCAGCCTGGGCCAACAAAATCCAGTCTCCTTGAACTAATATCTCCGAAAGATCCACCTCAGATTATCCTCTCATCTACGTTTAGGTCTCTTCCCCTCAGGCTTCCCAATCAATACCCTGTGCATGCTTCTTGCTCCATCAATGCGCTCCACATGCTCAACCCATCTCATTCATCTTGTCTTAATCACCCTGATAATATCAAGGGAGGAGTACAGATTTTTAAGCTCGTCATTATGCAGCTTTCCCCATACCAAATCGTCTTCTCTCCTAGGCCCAAATGTCCTCAAAACCCTGTTTTCAAACACCTGCAATCTGTGTTCCTCCCTCAGAGTGAGAGACCATGTTTCGCACCCATACAAAACAACAGGCAAAATTATTGTTTTGTATATTTTAATCTTTAGGTTCATTGAAATCAGACAAAATATTCTGAACTGAGATCACTGTACCTTCCCTTTATCATTTTAAAAAGAATGAGGCTCTCATAATCTTCGTATTTTTGTTAAAATTAATCATCAAGCAGAAATTTCTACACAATCACCAATGTCTTAATCCATGATTTTCTAAAGAGCTGGTCGCTGTAAAAGTAATTGTTTTCTAACCTAAAACAGTCTCTTGGCACACGTATTTCAATTATAATAAAGTATGAACAGGGTGGACAAAGAACATGAGCAATAAATAAAGTTACTGAGTGATGGGGATGGAGGAAAAGGGGCGAGACATCACGTCTCCTTTCTCTTTGTGTGAAAATTCTGTATAATCACCAAGCCGTTCCTTAGCACACTTAAAACTGTTATCATTTTTCAGTTAATGTAACCTTACAACAACAACTTTTCTCATGAATCCAATCAGCTGTACAAAGGTTCGAATGCAAAACATCAAACCAACCAAGTCTGAAGGTTTCTGTTGATTATCATATGAGAAATTATTTTGTACTTCATCCGTCATCTAAATCACAAAATGTTCCACAAGCTGGATTCTGTTTCTCTCTTAATCTGGATCAATCATTCTTCGCATTTACCCCGTATCGCATAATTGCGCTGGCAGAAAATCTTGGAGCCACCTGCACTTGGTCTACAACTGCTACAGGCAAGTTTATTTGATGAAGCCTCGTAGTGAAATGAATACAATCTTTCTCAAAGGCATTTGTGGGTGGTCTGATTCCATAAGGATTTATCTCTGACACCTAGTTCCAAGTAAGATAATTTTAAATGGCATAAGGCATCTGGGTCCATATTTGGATTGAGAGTCTTCAACAGACAAAATCACATGAAAGAGCAAGCTTCATCAAAAGGTTCTTCTAACCTGTGACTCAGTCTGCTCTGGCTGATGTCAGAGGATCATATTTCATTTGGGGTCAAAGGCTTTGTCTCTGTCACAGGAAGTAAATTTCATCCCCCCCCCTCCCCCAACAGAACCATGGTAATCAGAGAAATCGAATCAGCTTGGACGGTGTGAAAGGAGCTGTATGGTGACAGACTATGGATTGGACGACCAGGGTTCAATCCCTGCCAGAGGTAGTTGATTTGTCCTCCAGTCTGCGTCTACACTGGCTCTGAGGTCCAAGCAGCCTCCTATCCAATGGGTACTGGGGTTCTTTCCTGGAAATAAAGGTCAGCCTCGGCATGACGTTAACAACACACGCCTACCTATTGCCAAGATTAACAATGAGTAGATGCTATATACCCCAAGAGCCTACATGGCGTATAGTGCGACAATGTGCTCATTTTTACTTTTACTTCTTTGAATATGTGAAATCTGCAGTGAATTGGCAGGAAATGGTCACAACTAATTCAGACAGCCATGCAGCATGTCTAAGAAGAAATTCCAACTTCGTTTTGAGGCAAGAACATTCTTGTTGTACAACAGCTGACAGCTCAAGGCCAACAAAACAGGCCTGAATGAACCTGACCTGACAAACCGAGCCTAGGATGATGACAGGATGATTCAACCTCATCTGCAATGGATGGAAAGTGGGGAATAGACACAGAGTCCATCACTTCACAGATGACTACAATGATACCACTTGTTTTCGAAGGGGTGCCCAAGTTGGGATAGTGTTCATTAATTTACCACTGACACAAATGGCAGAAGACAGAATGTGATACTCCACATCTACAAGGACTCCACTCCATATTGAATTTTCATGTTAATTAATCATAAAGTTTGCACTTGTGTCTGACTTCGGGGTGTAATCAGGTTATCATATTTTGTGACTCAAAATGTCAAAGTTGCAAAACGGCACTAACACACAACTTTGTTAACACTTTGGCAAATCTGCTACTTAAACAATAGAAAAGATGAAGATTTCTGTCTTCTGGGTCGTTGCGCTGTGTAGTCTGGTCGATGTTAACCAACGTTTCGGAAGTCATACTGCCTCCATCATCAGGGCGATGACGAAGGCAGTATGACCTCAGAAACGTTGGTAAACACCGGCCAGACTAAACAGTGCACCAACCCAGAAGACAGGAATCTTCATACTCACCGCTGTGAAAACCTCAAATCTTAAATAGAGATGATGCATCAGGTTTACAGAGAAAATTCCAATTCATCATATAACCATATTTAAATGGCATCTGAGATTCAAACAGGAAACTCTGTCCCCATCCTCAGGGTTCTGATGTCACTAAACCCTGAAAATGGAGACAGAATTTGTTCCTGAAACGTCGGTTTACTACGGTAACCAGCTAACGAGGCTGATTGCTTGAGAAGATTTTACTGATTGTACTCGCCGCGAAAGTCTCAAATCCTGTATCCTGCATGAATGTTGACAAAGATGCAGGATCTTTAAAAATTTCGCATGGAAACTGTCATGGAGTTTTAAATGCTTTTTGAACACGCTTTGGGTTACCCAGCATGAGGTGCCTTGGACACAAGGTGAGTGGATGACAATTTGCAGTAACATCTCTTGCTCCGTCGATCCATCACTGTCATGGATGAGACTTTTATTCTAGAAAACTAACAAACACAGCACGAACAGTCGATCTGGAAATCTTCTCATTTACGGTGATCAGAAAAGCTTCAGCGACAGGTCAAAATGGAAACTGATATCAGAAGTTTGACCATGTGGTACTGTGCACTACAAATTCATTTCAGATGTAACTCTCAACAAGGAAAGATGAAACAAAAGTTGTACCAGCTGCAGGAGTTGACCAGTGACCAGTGACATAAATCTCTTGCATTAGAACACACCTGCACACCTCTCAATTCTTGTGCAACAATCGCTGAATGAACACAATACTGTCGAGTTATCATGTCAATCTTAATCACATGATATCTCACCATCTAATGACTCTTCACTCAAGAGAGAAAAACATCATTTGAGAGGTTTTCATTTCAACAGCCAACAAGAGGTTATTGTTGCAACTGAAGATGCACTGCATGACGTCACAGAAAGAGCCATTCCAGAACTGCTTACAGCAAATGTCCAACGGTGGCAGCAGCGTGTTACAGCTAAGGTTGTCTGAGAGTAGCTGTATCTAGGTGCAGCCTAAGACATTTTTGACTGTATTACAATGTATCCTCCCGTAAATTTTGAATGTCTGACACACACTGTAATTCCTTTGTAGTTTCATGTATCCCTTCTTGTATATCGGAATAGCAATTCCTTTACACCGGTCCTCTGATGTTCTGTTTTCTTTTAAATTTTTCTCCTGACTCAATATAACCACTGGGTCCTGACTGTTGCCGATGTGACAACCATGTTGACAGATATTTCATCATATCTCAAGTAAAAAAAGTAAGTGAAATATTTATTAGTGTTGTGATTTTAGATCTTGTGATTCAAAGTGGCAAGCCAGATAATCATTATTTTATTACGGTTATTAAATGGGACTAATTGTTTATATTTATACACACGCAAGCCAACTCCAGTCAGAAGTTAGCAGAACACAGAGCTAGGTTTTCATACTTGTAAAAATTGCTTGCATCATCACAACCTCAAATCCTACATAGAACGAAAGATGACTGGTAATAAGACAAATGCAGAGGAGTGCGTTGTTAAACTGTGGGCCAAATTAAGCATGTCTTACATAACCAAAAAGTGATTACAATTTTGAGCCTTCTGGATTGTTTTGGATCTCCTATTTAGAGGCCGAAGTTTCAGTCATGTCGCGTAAGTAGCAGCGATCAAATGTTGAAATAAAAAATGTTTCAGCGCACATACACGTGTATTGCGATACCAAGTTAAAATATTCTCTCTCCTGGTCTTTTCAAGTGTTCATTTACGCCTCCGCACAATTTCTACTCCGTCCTTATTTTTGTCTGCTAGAGCCATCTAGTAGGAATCAGGAGAGACTTGTGTGAGAAATGGCCGGCGAGTTTTGCTTACGAAACATCTCGTTCATGCTTTTTCGTGCCGTAAATCTACGGCATGGGACCGCCGGATTTACTTCCCCTCGAAGGAAGTTGTGCTATGGATTTTTATCACCCCTTAAAAATCCATCGACCTCGGTCAGGTTTGAACCCACGTACCTTGGGTCCAGTGGCGACCACATAAACCACTAGTGCACTGAGGGCGACAAGTTCATTCAAATATTACTTTGCCAAAATAACAACAGGAAAGTTTATGAACATGTTTTTTATTTAATGTTCTTAAATATATAATTTACATTTAATTACAAACTATTTAAAAAATAAATAATTTAACTAATTTTCTAAAACAATATAACTATTTAAGCACTTAAATATTCTAAATTGGCTTTGTCATATTTCCCAAAGTAGACGTAAACTGAATATCGTCCATTTCTGGAATCTGGAAAAGAAATAAACATTTGGATCAGAACAAGAACTGGAATTATGGGTAACAAGTATGGAAACACGTACAGCGAATATCTCGTGGTAGGCGATCTCTACGGATGCAGGTTTTGAAGGAATTTGTGACGAAACTCAAGGTGAGAGACACTGGACTTATTCTAGTTACGTGGACTTTTATGTGAATTACAGACTTCAACCTGATTCAGCAGTTTTTGGGGTGACCTCTGTTTTACCCTCTGTTTCATCTACGTGTCATAACCTGACCTGGTGTTGTAACCTTTATGTCGTGTGATGGGATCTGATGGAAATGTGACAGATTCTGACGTAAACCCAACAGAAATAAAAGTTTAATTATACGAGATTTCAGTGATCATGTAGGAAATGACGTAATTATCGTAGGTGAAGAAAAATGGCGACGTGTGAATATTTAATGTCCTTATAAATATAAACTATTTGTAAGATATCTTTGCTTTCAACAGCCAGTTTATTTTTAAAGAAATACGAGGGCAGATAAATTAATGTTTTAAACTTAGAGTAGAGTTTTAGTGATTTAAATAGTGGAATCCGCTAAATAAGTTCAACTGCAATGCGTTCTTACGAACAGAGGAAGATAAACTTCACGACCAACGCCAATAATCGAGAGTTTACTCTAGTCATCTTTCGCCACTGACTTTCCACACTTGTTTGTTTTCCATGTGCAAGCGACAGATGGCAGGCAAGTGACTTTGTCCAGAGAGTATGACGACGACTTACCTCTGACAAAGCGACAACTTGTGTGCGTGGGAATCTTCCTTCTCTTTGATGTTCTTCGGCAGGCATCGGACGGGCGCTGCTGGTCTGCGCCGTCGTGAGGCGTCTCAATTTTTTACCACGGGCCTGCTCTCGAAGGCGCTTTTGTCTGCGGACCTCTTTTGGGTTGTAGACATAATCTGAAAACGGAAAGACTGACATTCAGGTCACAGCATTCCGTAAACGGTTGTTTCTGATCGCGTGATTTGGCGTCTTTTATTACCGAAAGACAGGAACAATACAATGTCTTTGATCGTGTCTAATTGCAAAATTAAATGTTTAAGTTCCTCCCATTTTGATCATATCTAATTGCAAAACTAAATATTTAAGTTCCTCCCATTTTAATATTATAATATCTGGTTCATTGACTCGTAAGTAGATGAAAAGGTTTTGGAGAAAATAAATACTCGCCAAAAGTTCTCTTACTTAAAATCGCTAGCAGTCAATCCCAAATAAATCAAAATCGCTGATGTTTCTCAGAATTCTCGGGTACATTTTTTGGAATCTTTCTGATGCTTATTGACATTAAAAGAGAATTATTTACTTACCGGGATATTTCTTCTTGTGCTCGGCGACTGCCTGACGGGCGAGGGCAAAATACTCGATCTTTTGCACTCCTTCCATTGCCATCCACATTCCGCCAAGTCTGCAAACAGAAGAAGCAAAACTTGTGAGGTTGTAGGACGAACCGGAGGACCAACGTCCAAGGGCTGCAGCTGGGTAAAGGCA